ATTACATCCGTTGTAAACGCTCTTAAACTGCGCGTCCACCTTGCCGCATTCAGGGTCGTAGGTTTCCCTGAAAGTTGCGCGCTGCATTTAGTCAAATAGAAGACGTCGGTGCCCCGTTGGAAAAAAATAATTTTTAATTCAGTAAACATCTCTTGAATATTTCGAGTTGCAATTTTATGAAAGAAAATTGAAACGCCTCCGTTTAGTTCACCCCTATTGCTTTCATACTTCCATAAGCGGGATCCGTAAAAAGTGGAGATAGCGATCATCGGGCTTCAAAGTATTAATCCTCTATATTTTACAATTAACCGTACACCTTGTAGAAGTCGAGTGCAAAGAGAAAAATCGGTCTCCCGTATCGGACGCTGACGCGGTAACGGTGTGTCGAAGCCGGGTTCAATTAAAATTTTTAATTAAGAATCTCGCGTCCGCTGGAAGGAGAGGACTTTATTAAGTTCGTACAATGTTACGGGGTCGGAAAATGAGTGTGCCGGCCTATTAAGTTTAATGTCATTATAAAGGTGTCAAGGCACACGGCAGAGGCGTTCGGCGAAAAAGGAGTAAGGAGACCGCTGGGCAAAAATATTTCACGCGCGTATTCGGCCTCCGGTTAATTACGGTTTAATTGCAGGCTACGTCCGCTGCTAACAGACAGCCGATCGCTTTCTTTCATTAACAGATAGAAACGAGAGAGGCCGAGAGACGTCGGGGATCATGCTTTTATTCCCCATGTAAAATCTCAATTTTCTGCTGGTCTCGCTCCGCCGCGCCGCGGTGTCTCGTTTCCGTTCGATCGACTCGTCATCCTCTGGGATCGGACCGTGTGGGACGCGTGACGTGACGTTTCTTACCAGTTTCGCAAGATTTATCGCTCCTGCGTCTCTCGCAAACAAAATCATTAGGACAAAAGAAATGATCGGTCCTTTATTTCCTGCAGGGAGATTTCAATGAATTTACTGTTCCCTTTGCCAACAGAAGCACTGGTTAATGAGATGATTAACCGTCTCTTGAAAGTGTTACTGCAATCGTTTTAACGGCTTCAGAACGAAGCGAAGGGATAATTTTTGGAAAGTTTCTTCTTCAGGTATAGCGTGCAGTCACGCATTGAAATCGTAATGGCGTAGGTAGAGTGAAATTCGAAGGCGCGACGGTTTTTAACAATTGAACTTGGAATTAATAGCGCTGTGTCAGACGGTGTTCCGCGGAGAGACGCAATTTCGCTTTTATATCGGCCGAAATTAATGTTTCGTTGATGCTCTCGTAAACGATGGCCCACACGCATGGACGCCGCTGTTATTACGGTTTAATGTGTCCGACGGAAACCGAGGTAATCATTGTAATTTTACTCGCCGGCTCGCCTGTTTCGGCCGCATTTTTATACCGGACGAATATTCTTCACATTTTTTCGGAGCCCGGGGAATGCATCATCTCGCATGACGGTTCGATTGAAATAAAGAAAGTGAGAAAGTTTAATGATCGTCACGAGAGATATCTTAATCTGAGAAAATGAGAAATGGCAGAACGGATAATTTTCGGTACTCAGAGTCAACAGACTTTCGTAATGGTAAAAAATATTTTTGTAATATGTTCGGCGAACGATGCTACGAGATTTAATCGTGGAAAGTACGAAATGTAGTAGGCAATCTTATTTTTAAGAAAATGTGATTTTACTGAGAATTTTGATCAGTGATTCATCATTCATGTACTTCACAAAAAGATATAAGACTCTGTCAGTAATTTCGATTTAATTGCAGTTCATTTCCTATCGTTTATAAGATGTTTGAAATGACGTCCTTACAATTGTTTTCTTCTATGAAGAAACAAAATTCCTGTTAGAAGTGAGCAATAATTGAACCCTTAGATCGAACCTGAGTTCACTAGAAAAATCTCACCTTCGAACGATGACTGCTTCCATGAACCTTCGAGATCAAGAATCGATTATTACCGAAAGGATTGCAGCGCGTTTACGGTGTGTACGCGATTCTTAGCGTGTCGTGATTGCATGATGATACGTTACAGCCATAGCCGGGCCTCCTAACGACACACGCGACTCTTTCTTCCCTTGTTTTTTTTCTTTAAACGACTTGAATACGTCTTACGCCTCCGACCAGTGGAAACGGCAGCCAGACAGGGCCGGCCGAATTGGCAGCAATGACCATGAATTGGTACTTAGTCCCTATTGGGCAGCGAGCTCCTCTCCACTTTATTTTTTTATTCGCCAGTACGACGCTTTATAATCTCATGCCGCTCTCGTTCTTATTATTATTACCCCAGTGTACACTAGGGAGATGTTAATAACAGTGAGACTAAACGGCCTTCTGTATTTCACCAATCGTCGTGGCTGTCGATTTTTATTCGTATTATTTTATCCGAAGGTCTTTTCGAAATTTTTATACTAAGATTTAAAATTATATATTGAATTTTTGGATAAATATTAACTATTGACCTATCGATCCCGGCTCGACGTTGATTAATTAACTGGCAGACGAACGGCGTCTAATTACGTTGATTAACGCCCGTTTTCTCCGACGAACGATCGCCACCGATAAATCCCAATTGGACGGAAAATCGCGATCGACTGAATCGCTAATAAAAGCCGCGTTTTGTTAGAAGTAGGTTTAATCTCATCAGAATTATCCTGCTCATTGTTCCGATTCGATACTCCAGGCGTGGTCGATCCATTGTTTCGCTCCAGCCGCTTTTTGTCCGCTTGTTGGTCCCTTCGGTTTGATTGGCCTCTTGTGCTAGAATTCAACTATGGCTCGATTGTTCGCATCCTTTTCTTTCAATTAGGAGGTGCTTACGTTTTATTGCTACGTCTAATGCAATTAAGTTTTATTTACGAAGCTTGAAGTGTTGATCAACGGAGTAAATATTATGCAAAAGAACAACGCCTCGGTTTCTTATAGGTTTTCAATTAAAGTCACATTGTCCGAGGCGTCAGAAACTCGCAGCCTTATTCTAAAAGTGTCGTTCGCATAATACAAAATCAATTGTGCATTTATTGTTTTCCTGATATATTTCATAAGTTTATAATCGTTCTTCATTAACAGACAAACCGTGTTTGATGAGTGTCACTGGATCGAGTCAGACTCGTACATAAAAGCTAAAAGTCCCACGGATGTGTCGATAATACGTATGTTCATTGGACTTTTTTCTTTGGGAGATTTCTTTTCTGGGATGCGAAGACGATTTCAGATCGATTTTAATGAATAACCGGGTGGAAATTGGTTCTCGCGTGCAGCGACAATTAGCTTAAACACTGTCTTCGCGACCACTTGCCAATAAGCGTATCAGAGCTATCGTTATAAATTGGCCGGGCATTAAGATGATGTTGGCGCCACGAGGCAATTTGTATTGGTAATCAGTAATCAGTCGTAACGCGAACAAACTCGCTATTACCAATGTTGCCTTCTCCGACTTACTAAACACAGCGATTAACATTCTTCAAACGATCCGAGTAATTCTTTAGTCGCGCGTAGAGTCATTGCGAGCGATACAGATGTAATCGGCGTCAACTAAATGAATCGGGTAGAGACAATTTCGAGGTGGACGTTAAAAAATTGTCGATAAATCATGTAATGGAACGGGCGATAGAAAATAATTAAAGCGACGGCGGCTACTGTCCATTAAGAACGACGAGGCATGAAATAAAAAGTGGCGCCGGGTATTTTCGTTGGATAAATGACTGGGCAAATAACTATAACTTGTTCTTAGATAAATTGAGAGATACCCATTTACGGAAGCGACGATTATGCGAGACGCGCGGGGCCTGATCATTGTGCACCGCGCTTCTGCCGCGGAATTAAGCGAATCATTATCGTCGTGTCAGGTTCATTACGAGGCTCGGGTTGCATTATCAGAAGAAGGAGCCTGTCCTTCCTCGGTCCGCAACGAAAATAGATTGCGGGGACGGGATCCGGAGCCGGACGTGAAAATTGTTTAACCCGTCCCGTTCATAAATTATTTAACGCGCCGCCCGTGTCATCTATCAAGTTTGATAGTCGTTTCCGATAATAATAACCTGCCGCGTAAAAATTCCGCTACCGAATTACGGATTCTAAGGAACAATTTTTTATCCGTCCGTATCGCTAAGACGAGCGCGTTTGAATAAATTGAATGTCAAATTAACAACGAGGCTGACACTCCTGGCTGGGATTAATTTATTAGGATCCTCGCAGGATGGATAATTAATTGGACGTCAATTTGCTCGATTAATGACTAGAGCGTGCGTAATTCCTTCTAAGATTCCTCGAAATTCGACGACATGATTAATTCTGCGATTGTAATAAATGTTAGACGACGATATCAAACGTTTCTATGCTGATGCCGTTTCATTCTCGAGCCAAGATAACGGCCGCCTTATTGCCGAGTCAATCATAATTGCCGATCTTTTTTCAATATCCGGGCATTAGCATACGTATCGCGTTCGCGCAGCGAAACGTCTGCCAAAACAATCGGGTCCGCAGATCGTTGCGTCCGATAGAGCTAGGGGCGGCCTCGTAAAATCACTGAAATTCCATGTTTATTCAATATGCCTGGATTCTGTTTGTCCCCCGTATCGCCGGACCGATCGCTCGGGTGATACGAACAATTTCGCGGCGATAAGCCTCCTCGATCTTCGCGTGCGTCTCCCTTTTACGCGAAACGGGACTGCCGTGCAGTTATAAGAACACGCCACTGCTGGCCATTGAACCAAATTTCAGTGAAATCGTTTTCTTTCTGGTTACTTACAATAGAAATTTTACTCTGAATTACAGAATTTTTCCATTTGTAAAATCTATTGAAACTATGAAAGTTGAAACTGCCAGCAGACGTATGGCTGGATCATAATCATAATTGAATAACAGTTATGTTTGAGAAATAGAAGCTGGTTGTTAAACGGCTGGGGAATTTAATTTCGCGATGAAACGATAATGAGTCGCTAAGCTGCTTAACTTCATATTTTCATTCGGTTAAATCGACAAAAGCGGTCTGACGTTGTTCGCTTAATTTTTCAGGCTGCGACGGCGAGTCGGACGAAGGTGGAAGCAAAAGGCGGAGGAGCCGGACCAACTTTAATAGCTGGCAATTGGAGGAATTGGAACGGGCATTTCTCTCGAGTCATTATCCGGATGTGTTTATGCGAGAAGCCCTGGCTGTGAGACTCGAGCTGAAAGAGAGCCGCGTCGCCGTGAGTACATTATTTCGCATCCTTTATACAGAACTCGGCACGCCTGGATCTCGTCGGATAATCCGCTTGTGGGGGGAAAAAGAAAAAGGAACTACCGATTTTTTTTCGTAAATTTATTAACCACGGTAGCTGCGAGGATAGTTGAGAATTTTAGAAAAAATTGATATCGATATCATAACCAAGTGTCACTTGTTTGATGATTTTATTAGAAAATCATTAAATGTCTCCTTGCATCTTGACAAAGTAAGTATGACTTTAATTTTGAAGGATGCATTTGAATAAATGGAGAGAAGAGTTCAAGTCCAATTGTTGTACGACAGTTTAAGGAAGTATGGACCCTACGTTAGAGAAAAATGCAGTTTTATTGCTGCCTGATTTTGCTGGCATTATCCAGCATCCCAGATCGGTAGTACCGATAGGCGGTGAATTTATAGCGGGGAGTCGGCCGTCATTTTTCGAGGGGTTGACGCCCGACCGACGTACGGGGGTGGTTTTGATCTCTGCCTTTGGCCCTCGCTCTCCCGGGGGTAGTTAGTCCATCTGCTCGATTCCGAGTGCGGTTACCTAGCTTAGAAACAGTCCGGGTTTGAGTCTGTCCGTGGGCAGTAAACCGAGAATAAGATCTATCTCGGGACCAGTGACTTCGACTCGTCTATTTGAATAATGAACACGATTTTATGTGCGCTCTTCTTCCCCTTACAACGGAACATTTTTTAAGAAAATTTCAAATCGTTCATTCTTTATTCCAAAACTCTTTTTACTGACAAACCTCGTTCGAAAGAAATCTGCACAGAATAGAGATTTCCTCCACTCATAGTTTTAGTGGGATATTTGTTAAGTAGAACAAGTAGTACAAAATCAGTTTAAAACGTTTCATGCGCGGTGGTAATTTGTCAACTGCAGGAAATCGATTTCGCGCGGAATTTCTGTGTAATGTTATCGTTATTTTTATTGCACAGAACCTCTTTCGCTTTAACACGTAACACCGTTCGGAGTGATATAATAGGGTAAATGATATCATTGTTTAATTTATTCCTCCGGAAGCACCGATGGCCGGATAAATCGACGAGCCACGCGAAGAATGAATCGTTTATGCCGTAACATGAAATTCACGTTTCCACGAGTCGGGGCTGTTCGTTATTTAATCAGCGACGCCTTCGCGCCTAATTGACAGACCATATTTTTGAAAACCATCCACGGTGGTTTCCTCAGTTTACTATACCCCTGTTATTACTCGACTCGTTGCAAGTGAAATTAGAATCGCTACTGCTTAATTAAAATTAGAATCTTCCTTCATTGTACTCCTATCAACTAACAATCTTGACACTATATTAATGTTCTTGAATTAATTTATTATAACTATCGCGAATTTTCGAATAAAAGTGTGAAAGAGACGAAGGATTCCCGCTGCAACTCAACACCGTGACCTGATGCTAGCCTTCGTTGGGACTGACGAAGGGTGGACCCTCAATTTCACGGCCCATCGGACACGAAACCACCCTTACGTCTCCCTGATAAGATATTTATATTTATGCTCCCAGACACGCTTCGGCAAAACTGTCCAACCACGTTCAAACAATTAATTGAACCGAAAAGTGCACCAATAAATTCATCCTCTAACAACGAAACAGTTCTTGGAATTAGATCATTTAGTCTCTTCCATTTATTCTAAAAATACATTTTATTCAATACGCAGTAAATTAAAAAATATTTATATTATATCAATAATAAAATTGTGAATGATACTAAAAATCTGGAAACGATTCAGTTCACCAGGCGTTGAAATCGCCTCGCAAAATGCGACGTGTGCGACTTGGTTGATCGTCCTACTAGCCATGAACCGGCCCCATCGCCTTTGTGGGCTCGGGAACCGATCGACCTTGGTGACAGGGTCGATCCGGAGATAACCCGAGGCTGTCGGTGACGCGGTGTCACCCGGCTGGGCACCCGGGCTCGTCTTCTCGAAGGGACTGTCCTTTCAGATTAGATAATAGATCCCCGCTTCTGATAACCCATACAGACGCCCTTCTAAAAAATATTGTCACGACGAGATAAGCCGATGACACGATTGGAAGCCGAATCCATGCGTGGGTGTCGATTTTCTTAAAAGACAAGATAGTTATCTCCTCAGTTCAGAACATACGGTAGTCATTATTTCGAAACATTCGTTCGCCATTTCAATTAAATTCTACTAAGAATATTTTAATTATACTTAATGAGTTTTAGATATGCGAGAGAAACGAGTAAACTTACCTAAAAACTCGTTTTCAAGATTGTACCTTCCAAGTAGATAAGATTCGTGTCAAGTGGTTCAAATGAATTCGCTAATGGGAAATGCAAGTTTTCGAATAGCTAATAATTGAAACTGGAACTGAAGATAACTTCGATAAAATAAAAAATAACGTCTCCGCTTTTATCTAGGCCTCATTAGTAGTCTGGGTTTTACGAGTAGATGTTCCTTGTTTTGTTCACCGGCAATCGATTCGACGTAGCTCGCGACGCGTCGACATTACCTGCATAGGAATTACCCCTTGTATAATAAGCCGAGTAGAATACTAATCAGCCCTGTGTCAGGCTAATTATTGCAGTGTCAAATTGCTTTTTATTCTTGCTGGGGAATCTAACGCTTTCCTTAACGATACGGTAACCAATGTTCAAGGGACACTTTCTGATAACAATACATACAAAAAAAAAGTAGCTATTTATGTCTAGTATCATTTTTATCTGTCTTCTGTTTTATTCCGTAAGTTGTAAGACAAGTAGTCAACCATGAATATAATGTTGATAGCTGTTTGGCCATGAAGAAATTGTGAAATGTAGTGCTCCGCCACAAATCAGGTTGAAAGGGTTTCAAACTAATTACTCCTGCTATCCGTGTCGGATATGTTTAATAGAGGAGGCGCGTACCTACTTGCTCCATATATTCCAGCGAGTTTCCACGCTTTCTGAGACGACTTTCTTATCCGTACACTCGTTTTATGTACGCTTCCCCTCGGTAACGGCCCGCTCGTAAACTTACAGCTTAGAAAAAAGATGTTACACGTTTAGTCAAAGCGCATGGTAATCGGTGGAGTGGCTTGTTAGCGGTTATCGGCTGACCGATAATTTCTAACGAATAACGGTAATAACGTTTTCCCGCTCGTCAACTTAATGCCGCGCAGCTGTAAGCTATTTTCCTTCGTATTGATAATAGTGAAAATCGATACGCCTTGACCCTCTGTTGCTCGAATTAATTTTATTTCTTTCTCGACACGTGTTCATCAATAATATGTATACGAGTTCAGTTGTTCATTATTATTGCCGGCTAGGAATCATTCTCTCAATCTGCACAAGAAAGAATCTAAGTAATTTTTATTCTAACTTCAACATTTAACGACTTCAATATTATTAATCGGCATTTTATTGGTACTGACAAAATCCAATCGGCACGGAACAGCAAATTTTTAGTAAAAAGTTTCGTTTTTCCTTAATTACTTTTAAATCATTGGACCAACGGAAAAATTGCACAGGACCTTAATTGTAGCTGAAGCTATAACTTTTGTCGGAAATATTTTTTGTTAACGTCGACAGTCAACAATTATTTTACAAAAAACAGAGAAACAGTTATTTGCAAACTACTCGTTAACGACAACGTCAAACTATTGACGACAGAAAAATATGTTTTAGATAAAAGTTGTAGCTCTTCGCAGTATGTACAACTTTTATTTTAAAAACTTTTTCTTAGCAGGAACAGGAAAGCAATTATTTGCAAAAAACGAAAATTTCGCAAAATCTGAAGGGTTTGACAAAATCTCTGAAAAATTAAAATTTTTTTTTCTCGCGACATTGACAAATGCTTCAAAGGAAAGTTGTAGGTACTGCTATTACCTACAAGAAAGATAATGTACAATTTTTTCTAACTCCGGTATTTAACGAGTTAAGTTTGATGAATCGGCATTTTATTGGTACTGACAAAATCTGGCTGTTTCTCTATGGAAGCAGCAAACTTTTCGCTTTTCCTCAAATACTTCTAAACTCTTGAACCTACTGTTCTTTCTTATACGGTGCTTCTGTTGCGTACATCTAAAGCAAACAGCATAATCAAACGCTTTTTCTTCTTTTACGGTTCAAATAAAAAATTGATGCTCAGTTAATAATTGTAATGTATTCAATGTTGATGTAGCAACTTATACTCAGCAACAAGAAACTCGCTCGTGATTCTATAATTTGTCTTGAAATCACTATAAAATGGGAACAGGTTGCGAATTATCGTTTTACTCGTCCCCAAGTTGAGTCACGTACGAAGTTATCAAGCGAACGGGAAAATGTAATTAACTGGGAGCGAGTAGACTTTATCTCGAGTTACGCGATGCCAAATAAAATTGAATGATGCCTTCCAATTAACATTGCTCGTTATTTCCGGTGATGACTGTGAACTCGTATCGGTTATGGATTCATATGACTCAATTTCTCGCGTTATTTCAAAGTACATTGTTCAGAAATATACGATTCGTACAATCTTTTCCTCTTGCACTCAGCTTTCATAAAATTATTTATTAAATCATA